TGTGGCCTATGGCCTGGTACCACCAGCTCAGTGGTGGTACCAAGGTGCAAGGTCGCTCATGTGGTGGTACCATCAATGTCTCCGCACATACAACCAGGACCTCCTGGTAGTACCACCCATCTATCACCATGTCTATGGTGCAACCGGAGGTGACAATCTGGAATGTGGTAGGACCATACTGTACTTTTACGACCGTAAGTTCGTCCCGCGTCCCTGGGGCACCCGAACCAAACTTATTGTCCCCTGTCCCCTGGCACTCCGAACCTCCGGGACACATTATATCTGACCGTGAGAGTCTTAAATCTGACCGTGTGATCAAAAAATCTGACCTCGTAAGCACATGTCCCCCGGGCAGGCTGCGGATGAACTTCCCACGGCCCGAACCCGTAAGGGAAGGAGTTTTTTGTTCCATACCTAGCTTCGCCACCGTGACATCCCTGTGACCTGGACCAAAACATTACAAAAGTGCGATGAAGTGTGAATTTTTTTGCGGAAATCGGACAGTGGGTACTCGTTTCGTGCTGGATGCAGCAGCGTGACATTGTAGGTGTGAGAATCCTTACATAATTGATGAGTATCAGTTAAAAATCTGATAAATGAGATCACCGAGTTGCCCAGTGTTATGGTCAGTTACATAAATGTGATTTCAGCTGCACATGTTTTTTCTGCATAATGACACCTTCTGTCTTTGGGCATCGATTTGGTGCCGTCAGTGAGGATATGTAAGATTTGGGAGGTATTGTTTCAGTTGGCGAACTCAAATTTTGGAGCAAGTTCTGGGGTGTCGGACTGCGCGGCTTGGCACCCCTTTACTCAAGTAAAAAGGTTGGCGCAATGGGGATTCGAACATCGGTCCACCGATAGATACAACTACACTGTGCAAACTGACAATACAACTACTGCACCATCTTAACACATGTATATAATTACGAGCGCCAGTGTTATAGCTTTTCATGAACACACGGAAATAGTGCCAGTTTTTTGCGCTGCCCGGCCATCACGAAAGTCATTCATTATTCATCCGATTCTCTTGTTCTCCACACACACTGGCTTGCATACACATATTGATAACAAATACCTGCAGATGCTCGAACATCCTGTCACATATACCGAGCGCGCTTGGAAGGGCTTCCGAACACATCACTACTCATTGGAGATGACATCTCCAATTGCGATGACGGCCGTACAGGTGACAAGGCCTCAGACACGAATAGTCGTCTGCGGACATCATCATCGACAAAGGCGAAAGGCGATAAAGGTAGAGGGGATTGACGGAGGAAGGCCTGGTTTCGGAAATGACTCGTTGGTGTCCTCGGCGTCGATGGTCCTGACGATGACGATCTTGGTCCGGGCGAGCCGACACTCAGCTGTGGGGTGGATGGCTCGTCCCATTGCCATACATCATCTGCGATCTCATCCACGTTGACGCGGAGTGCTTCCAGCTGCTCGTATAGAGCAGCAACATCCTCATCGCAACTCGCCTCATCCTCGAGCCCTCTCACATGTCCGTCCTCGGATTCATCGCCGTCATTGTCGTCGTCAGGCGCGTCCAACACGGACGACTTGACAATGTGTTGCGGAGAATCGAAGTTGCGCGCGAGTTCCTCCCGCATTTCGCTCTCTGTTGGCCCCCAGACATTAAGGGTCGGATCATCTGTCGGGATAGCGGAGACGGCGCGTCTCCATGTAACAGCTAGCTCTAGCAGCTCTTTGCGATAGAGCGAAAGTTGATCGTGTAATCCGTTAGACAAGTCTAACAAGGATGTCAACAATGTGTACATTTGATTATTATCAATCACGCACCGGCGTCGTCGAGCGCATGCTCGACAGCGTTCCATTCCTCCTGCAGCCATACCTGCATGATCCTTCGCTCTGCCATGATCCTATCGAGTTCCTCCTTGCACCGGTCCGCGCTCAGCATGTGTCGAATACCATTCTTCACGTTCTCGTCGAGGAGCCAGAGCTGCGGCCCACGGTCCTCGTCCTCTTCGTCTGCGAGGCCGATGTCCTGCCAGATATCGTCGTCCACGTCAAGGCTCCACAATTTCTCCAAATTGATCGGGCTGGGTGGAACAGCCCTGACGGGAGCTTGCCGCGCTTTGATAAGTGCCACCATCTCCGCGCATAGCGCATTATATCTGCGTGCGCATGATTGAATCCCGGGTTCGCGTCGATGTACGGCATTTGTTGTGTGCGCCGCTAGCTTGCGCTCTATTGCGAATACATTACCGACATTCTGTTCTCTAACAAAACATGACGCACCCGACGACTGTGTACGCACAGCGCGCTCCATTCTTGTGAACTCGAACTTGCGTTGCCGGAGACGATCTCGAATCCTCCTCTTCAGTGCGCGGGCGTTTAGGCGGACCGTCAAATACCGATTCTTGCGCAGGCTTTGCAGGTCCTGCCTGCTCCGCAAATCGAGACTATCCTCCAGGCGACTCTTCTTCAGTGCCGCACGTCCGCGCTCGTCTCGTAGCTCTTCGTGCCTTAACATCGTGCTGGCGTCGTTTTTGCCCTTCATAATCGATCGCTCGATCTTTGCGAGGTTGGCGTCCAGGATCCGTATCTGATCTTGCAGCGCAAGGATCAAATCGATGGTCTTCGTGCCGGCGTCCTGAGTTTGCCCTGAAGCCATGTGTCAGGTCAGCAAACGACCAAGACCATTTCTAACTGACTTTGAGATGGCCGCGTCTGAGCAATTTGCTGTAACTCCCATTGACCCCGCAGAATCTCCATTTTCATGCCGCATTCTCGCAGCCCCGTTTCAGCCTCGATCAAGCGGCCGCGCGCGGCCTCGTACTTCCGAACAAGCCATTCGCCAACCGCGCGGCGGTGTAAGCAATCCAGATGGTGGATCTGACTGTCGATCACGTAGAGTCGTTGCCAGTACTGTACGGCGAATTCATCAGGATCTATTTCTTGACAGAAAGGGTCACTTACACCGCTGACACGCAACCCAGGAACCAGATGATCCAAAGCGCTCCATACACGTTCACACCCTTCCCCATCTGTCAATCCAAAGCACTCGCATTTCCGCGGGTGATACGTGATTTGACACGCCCATTGATGACCGTACGCATGAAAGACAGATATTCCAAACACGATGCGGTCACGATACTCCGGAAGGAGGTCCCACTTGTAGCAGCTGCGATGTAATTGACATCCGATGTCGTACAGGACGCCAATGCGGAACGTCGCTGGTACGTGACGGAAGAACTTGTCGAGCAGTGCGATAGCATAGTGTTGACGTTCACCAGCGCTGGTCATGTTGGCCAACCACAAGACGCGATCGTGACGACATACAAGTGCCATCAGCGCCGTGTCGTCGAAGAACTTCGTACTCGCCTTTTCTCGCTGTTCATCCGCAGCTTTAAATGACGACTCGCAACCATCCAAGATAGAATTTGGCAGCTTCAGTGGACCTTCGCACCAATCTTCGGTTTCGTTTTCTGGAATCAAAACGGTCCCCTGGCGCTGCTTCCCCCGCTTCCTTCCAGAACTGGACACGACCTCCCCCTTCGCCCCTACGACTTGGGCCTCCTTTCCCTGCTTCCGTTTCGCCATGAGCCGTTCCATGGCTGTGATTTCGGACTCCTCGAGGAACACGGATGCCGGATGTCGACGCTCCGGATCGCGCCGGCCGGTAGCCCGACGCTTTTGTGTGAAGCACGCATCTAAACAAACAATAGTGTCGACACTGTATACCGGGCTGATCAACCACATGAAGCGCTATGAGGTGAATGGCAGCACACCTCAGCCCCTCCGTTTCGCGTCCAGTTCCACCGAAACACAATATGCAACGGGACCGCAGGTAGGCGCTTGCGCGTTCTCCATCGAGAAGTTGACTCTTCGCTTTTTCATCATCAGGAGCTCGCTCCCCCCCCGATGCTTCGGGCTCTGAGCTCCCGCATTCAGAATGTCCGTCTTTGTAAGCTCCAGGGCACGTTGATCTTGGGACGTTGGAAGGATCTACTGCCACGCGTAAGTTCATCCGTCATGATCCGGTGCAGGGCTTCGACTCGCCGCCAGATTCTACGGTTGCATGATCACGCCGTTTTGACAGAACATGCCTTGGACGATCCAAAGTCTCTGACGTCCAGGAGCTTGTGCTTTCTCCCTCGTGTGACCGGCTTTGGGGTGTTTGATCATCCGCATCTTGATCGTGCTCCCGTACTTCGGGCTCTGAGTTCCTGTGTTCAGGATGTCCATCCTTGCAACCTTTGGCGTACGTTGATCTCGGGATGTTGAGAGGACCTACGGGCGCTCATGAGCTTGTCCCTCATACTAAGGTACAAGGCTTTGACTCACCGCCAGATTCTATGATCGCGTGAACTTGTCGTTTCGATAGAATACACCTTGAACGTTCCACAGCCTCTAAGGTCCGTTGCCGCACGCAATCAATAAGGTAGTTGTACCAATTGAGCGCGTTGCCAAATCGCCTTCGCAATGAATCCTGTTTCCTAAGCATTCAATTAACCTATCCTTGGAAGCGAAGGGCCTTACTCACCCGTGATGTGACCCGGTGCTTTCGTACGCCCAGAAAACACTCCAAGGTTGTTGCCCACGCGGTGATATTGGGCGGAGTATTCACGAAGAGCGTAGCAATGAGCTCAAGCATATTCAAATCAAACGCCACGGATGGGGCTTGAGGTGCACAGGGAAAAAGTCCACGAGCAAGTATATTCATCGCCGCAGACGTGCATGTGCACACCGGAACGTCTATCCGTTCCAGTCCTGTCGGCTCCTTTAAAACCTCGTAACGCGGTGATAGGATGTACGCACGATCAATGAACACCGCCAACACACTGAGTGTTTTCTGGTGGTCCCGACATCGGCATATCGGAGGGCGAGGTTGGTCGGTGGTCATATGTGCAGTCAACAGCATGTACTCCATGTACGGGTCGACTAGCTCGGGTATGGTTATGGTTCGCCACCGTCGCCATTGATTCGCTCTTTTTCTCGCGTATCTCTCCTGGTCTACTGCCGATAGATCTTGTTCCACCTCGAGTGGGAAGTGTAGAGGAGACGCGATACGTTCGGATCGCGGTGTGTTGAGAGGAGACAGTCCGGACGGCATGTCAGGTTCGTTAGCAACATCCAGACGGCCCTCACTCCCTGCGCCGATCTTCTCCCTTGCCCAATCATCATCGCGGAACTCCTCATAAAAAAATCTCGCGTATCTCTTGTCGAACAACCCGGTTTGCTTCAAAACGCGTCCATCCGGTAGCTGAGCAATTACTGGTGGCATCCCCGGAGTTGCCATGCGGGTTCTCCTTGATGCTGAGCGCCCCTCCACGATATTCGACGGGCCTGCCCCGCTGTTGAACATGTCCTCATCAGAAGGCATGAAGCCACGAGGAACTTTGACCATGGTAAAGCAGCGCGCAATGCCCAAGTTGAGGGTCGCAATAGTGTGGAAGAAAAATATGCGGCATCGGCCGCCCATTTCCTATCTCGTGATTGGTTTAGTCATGTAGGACATGTAACATCGGTAATTACTAAGCCCGATAGCCTAAGAAATGATCCGTCTTGAAGGGGTCGAACGTCAAAGACGGTTTCGTGAAGTTAATGATCGTTGCACGGTAGTTTACGTGGAAGGATAGGGGCGCGGTCGAAGACTTGCACGAAAGACCGGCAATACACAGCGCACATGCGGCGAGCGCAGAGATTTAGACTGTCGGTCTCGATCGACGGTGTTCGCAGTTCCTGTAAGGCGTCCAGGTCCTCGCTCTTGAAGACTGACACTCTGGCGAGGATAGATCCATCACGTCCTCGCTTCGCAGAGTCTTCAATGCCGGAGGACACACGCCATTCACACATGACTTCTCCCATCTTCAATAAAGAGCTGCGAAGATCTCTAAAGAGTTCATGCGATTCCGATGGAGGCCCGTCCGGAATACCGAGGTTCGTACCTAGAAAGCGGGAGATAACATCAACGCGTAATGCGGGGTCCTGTCCTGTCATGGCAACGTCAAGCGCCCGGAATTCCGTCGCAAAACCAACATTGCACATTTCGTACAGCAGATGCGGCATGAAATGGGGGCACTTATCAAACGCAGGTGGTAATGGCGCACCCCACCATGTGGGTGGATCGACGTAGATTGATGGCGTGGTAGATGAGGAATCTTCGAGAAGGAACATCCGAAAAGAGGCCAAGCGAGCTCCCCATTTCTTGCTTCGTATAGCAGCTGTAGATTGCGACAGTAAAACTGCCCTCTGAGGCTTCAGGACCCATTCCCGCCATAGCTGCCCTGGGAGGCAGGTGCCTCGCAACGTGAACTCCTTATTCTGCTGCCCACGGACCATTGTCACAGCGGATGGACGCTTGAACGCCTTTAGCAGTGCACCATGTAAACCCAGGTATGATCTGAGCATGGTTTCCCGCGCAAGTTGATCTGGCGGTTGTCCGGCGCGGAGAAGAAAGATCCAAGGATCCACAGTCCAATATGCTCCACCGCGAAGTTGGATGTTTTCATGTGATGCAAGCTGTGACGCTAGCGAGTTCGCGGCTTCCTCCCAGCACCTCAACGCTCCGGGGAGATACGGATCGCCGAGCTCGCCCCAAGGTCGCAGATGATCCAAGGCCCTGGCGCGCCTGGTGATGTGATCGGCTTGTTTGCCTAACATGCCGATGCCGCTAACGCGGCTTGGAACGGCCTCTCGCTCGGACGGGTTAGGAGCCGATCCTTGAGGGAGGGGACCGATGACGCTGGCGGGACAGGTCGCCTGCTTGTCTGAAGGTGTGTTCGTGGGCGTCGAGGAAATGGCAGCCAGCGCTTGAGAAAAAGGCCCAATGGCGCTTGCAGGAGGGGTGGGCCCGTCCGTGATTCTTTTTGTTTGCGAAATCGTAGCGGATCCGCAAGGAACGAGTTCGCGAACGCGTGCCGGATCGGCGACCTGCTCGTCTGAGGGCGGGTTCGTGGGCGTCGAGGGAACCGTAGCCAATCCTTCAGGGAGGGGACCGATGACGCTCGACGGATTGGCGGGAATGGCAGCCGACTCTTGAGGAATAGGTCTGGTCACAGCTGCAGGAGGAGTCGTCTGCTCGCTTGAGGGCTCGTCCGTGATTGTTTGCGAAATCGTAGCAGATCCGCGAGGAACGAGTTCGCGAACGCGCGCCGGATCGGCGACCTGCTCGTCTGAGGGCGGGTTCGTGGGCGTCGAGGGAACCGTAGCCAATCCTTCAGGGAGGGGACCGATGACGCTCGACGGATTGACGGGAATGACAGCCGACCCTTGAGGAATAGGTCCGGTCGTGGTTGCAGGAGGAGTCGTCTGCTCGCTCGAGGGCCCGTCCGTGATTGTTCGCGAAATCGTAGCAGATCCGCGAGGAACGGGTTCGCGAACGCGCGCCGGATCGGCGACCTGCTCGTCTGAGGGCGGGTTCGTGGCCGTCGAGGGAACCGTAGCCAATCCTTCAGGGAGGGGACCGATGACGCTCGACTGATGGACCATCTGCTCGTCCGAGTTCGCGTGCGTGGGCTTCGTTGGTAAAGAAGAGGTGTGCACGGCATAGGTCGGGAAAACTGGACACCCTGATTAGAGACTCTGAAAGCGTTACAAGGTGACGTCAACGACTTACCATCAGAAGTATTACCACTTGCGTTTTGGTAGTCGTTGTCGTAGGCGATTACCACATCGCCATTGGGGTCCGAATTGGATGATGTACCTGTCGAGCCTGTGTTGGACGATAGATAGTATGTGTTATGGGAGGCCTTACCTTGCGACAAGTCCGATCCCGTCAAATCTGTAAACTATCGTTCACTCATTGTCGACGTTGGCATGGGGTAGTTACTCACCAACGGGCGATCCTTCGCCGCGGTCGTGATCGCAATTGTAGGCTTCCCGTAAAGTAAAGTCTGCAAACACCAGATTTGGATCACCAATCATGGCATGATCTGGTTAAGGATATCTTCACAGTACCTTCAGTCTGTGTTCCCGGATCTTCTATCGTTTGGCTGAGTTTCAGACGGTAGCGTCTTATGGCGAATAACAGCGGCGAGGGACGGTGTACAGCAGTCATTGTACCATGTTCAAGTCGTGCATGCGGCTGGCTTGGGATTTGTATGTGCACAGGGGGCAGGGACAAAGCAGTCATATGCTCGTAATCATTGCTGTCCAAGGAAGCGGATGACGAGCGTGCTGAAGCTTGCTGAGGGGTCCACGTGCGAAGTAACTCCCACGGCGGCGAAGGTGGTCTATGGTATTCGTATCCTTTCCCAGTCAACGGTGGTGGAGTGGACGGATCCCGAAATTTGCGGAGAGGATCCACACCAGCGAAGACAAAATCCGATTCGCGATATGCACGAGTGCCGGCGCCGGAGTATAGATATTCAGCGACAAATCGACCTATGGAAAACGCTATGAGAATCCTGCCTTGAATAGGCAGAACAGACGCTAAACGCACAAGACGTATGCCGACTTCGGGCCCGATTTGCGGTGATCAACCAGGCCTCAACGTCTGGCGGGGGCGGAAACTTCAGCGTATCCGAATCTTAACATCGTCAGATAGCTGATCGTGGTTCCCTGTGACCCATTCTCTCACATTCACGCGACGCTGGCATGCGATCAGCGGACTTCAACCAACGTTCGACTTCTGGTGTTGGTCGAATTTCAGGCGGATTCAGAGCTGAGGACGGCGATGATCAATCAATCAGCATGGAGTGCGGATGTTATGCGTTGGTCTCGCGTACATGTTGGCTGGTTATCTGTATAGTTGTCGGTAGTTGCAATCGTCGGCGGGAGGCAAACCAGTGCATCGGCAATGTCCGTTTGTCGAGGTTGGCGAGGTCGCCCCCGAGGAGGACCGTATTTCACGGGCACTGCATCGTCATCAAGAGATGAGGATCCGGTTCCCGACTCGTCATCCGAAGATGAGGAGCCCACGCTCGACTCGTCATCCGAAGATAAGGAGCTACCGCCAGTTTTGTGATCCGGCGAGGAGGGGCCGACACCAGGCCGATCCTTTGCGATCCTGAGATCATCACGACGGCGCTTTGACGCCGGTGGCAGTTGAGTCTCTTTCGGACGTTTACAGGCCCTCTTCGGTTGTTGCCGACAAGGTATGGTGGACTGCGACCTTGAATCGCGAGATGTTCTTGTTGCCCGAAGGGCCTTCTCACGTGTCTTTCTTTGGGAGTGGGAGGTAGGTCGTGGAGATGATGTTCTAGAGGCCAGCGTGAGCGTCTGTTGGTGCAGTTTGATCAAGGATGGAGGCGTGTCACCTGGGTCTCTTAGGCATCTCTAGAAAAGTGACCGGTATTCGCGAGGTTGACGGTCAGCCGGAATGAAATCACAAGAACAGTTAAGGATGCACACTAGGGGTCTATCGTGAAGCGCTTGGTATCTAGGACACAGGCGGTGTCAGGATAGGAAAATGGAATAGTATTTCTGTCCTAACGCACCTTTTCCTCCTATAATGGCGGTCTTGAATGAAGAATTCCACATCCGCTGAAGCGGGCGGTCCCTGGCGAGGAACGTGTAGGGACAGGATGCTGCATAGGATAGGATGTAACAGCGGAAAGACGTGCGATGATCCCGTGACTCAGGAGTGTTGATCAAGATCAACGAGTTACATTCGCACGGCGGTGGTTTCCTTCCCCCTTTCCTCTCGCTCACGTCTGTGCGTCGTACAATGGGCCAACGCATCGAGACCAGCACGTTGTCGTTTGTATATACATGGTGAGCAGTCTTTTTTCCAGCCCGCGGTAGCTCTCACCCGCTTCGAAGAAACAGCCATGGACTCGCACTCCACGTCGGGGACAGCACGTTGTCGCTAGCGGACGAACGGCCGACTATATGCATGGTGTTGTCGTTTGTACATACATGGTGAGTGGTCTGTTTTATCCGGCCCGCGGCGCAAGCTCTCACCCGCTTCGAAGAAACAGCCATGGACACGCATGAGGGCGAAGGACCCCCTTGCGCTCCACGCCGCGACGCACTGGGTGGACAGTACAATGTCGTTAGTGGACGGGCTGACTATATGCACGGTAAGTGGTCTGTTTTGTCCGGCCCGCGGCGCAAGCTCTCACCCGCTTCGAAGAAACAGCCATGGACACGTATGAGGGCGAAGGACCCCCTTGCGCTCCACGCCGCGACGCACTGGGTGGACAGTACAATGTCGCTAGTGGACGGGCTGACTATATGCACGGTGAGTGGTCTGTTTTGTCCGGCCCGCGGCGCAAGCTCTCACCCGCTTCGAAGAAACAGCTATGGACACGCATGAGGGCGAAGGACCCCCTTGCGCTCCACGCCGCGACGCACTGGGGGGACAGTACAATGTCGCTAGTGGACGGGCTGACTATATGCACGGTGAGTGGTCTGTTTTGTCCGGCCCGCGGCGCAAGCTCTCACCCGCTTCGAAGAAACAGCCATGGATACACGCGAGGGCTAAGGAATGCCTTGCGCCTCATACCGCGACACATCATGCGACAGCGCGTCGTCCTTCACAGCTGAGTGGTCGACTATATGCATGTTGTCGCGATGGCCGACGTTCCCCTCGTATTCCCGTATCACGTAGCTACCTCGTCGCCAGGCATCATGCCGGTTCAACAGCCGCCGTGAGTATGCTGTAGGTAACAGCTTCATACCGCGACACATCATACGACAGCGCGTCGTCCTTCACAGCTGAGTGGTCGACTATATGCGTGTTGTCGCGACGGCAGACGTTCCCCTCGTATTCCCGTATCACGTAGCTACCTCGTCGTTAGACATCATGCCTGTTTAACAGCTGCCGTGAGTATGCTGTAGGTAACAGCTATGAGGTATAGTTCACGACGCATCAACATGCATGTTATTCACCAGTTTGCCGTGGGTATATCATATTAGGGGCCGGATTGAACGTGTGTCACGAATGCAGGGGAGTACTACTGTGGTGCTGGGAATGTCCGGAGGTAGGATAAGCTGCCTGTGCGTTGTAAAGTTGAACCACAAGCCGGGCCAATGATACAATCCGACCCTCCCGCTCCTCCCTCAAATACTCCGCAAGTTCTAATGCTTGACGGAGCTGCTGGTTCTCCATGCATAACAACATGCAGGATCGGCAGCTCGCATGCTGTGGCGTGGAGGATGGAATCGAAGTGGGAGGAAGTGACACCCAGTCGGTTGTATGTTGATAATAGACTGTCAAAGATATTCGCGTCGTGAACGGCTAGACTTGACGAGATGGTGGCATACCAAGACATACCATTGCTGTCGCTACCAGTGCCATCCGATAAGGGTACTACCCGATTTATGTCCTGCGCAGACATAGTGGGCACTAATTCTGCAAAATCAAAAGTGATTATCAATTGATGACTTGCTACGGTAGGGAGAACAGATGAGACATACGGTGGAGACGTCGAGGTTAAAGGCCGACGAGCGCGAGGCGTCGTGAGAAGTGTCGGACTTGAAGATTGGACAACATATGAGTATCATATGCATCGCAATCTTCAGGGTCGTTCGCTTTCAATCCCTGTCAGTAGAACGAAGAGGTATAGCCGAATACACGAAGAGATCAGCGGCTTACTCAGTATAAAGTGATTTGTCCAAAACCTGTAGATACAGGCTAATAAGCGATGCACAACAGTGCGCACAACGACCGACTGTCTTGCATGGTGTTGCTTCGAGTTGCACATGCCGTGTATCACTATGTCAGGATATGCATGCAGTTTGAAGTGCTACTATTGCGTACTACGTGGGCCGTTGTTGCCGTCGTCACCAATCCAAAAGTCCTTACACGTGATAGGGCAGCAGTTGCGGAACCAAAAATTGATTCCGCGTACATTTACTCCCGCCCCCACATCCCCGCTGCATCCTCATGTTGCCACACAACGCACGCCTCACTATATGGGTGCTACCATGATGAATCAATGTCCTGCTTACGCCAAGATCGGATGACCATCGGTTCTTGAGAGTCGATCTCCTCGTCAATATCGCCCACCCACTCCGGTCTTTGTCGCACATCGCTCAATCGTTTGCAGCTGCCCCACGGCATCCATCTTCGTCCACACCTTGAGTGTCGCGATGTACGGAATGCAACCGTGTTACGGCACCGAACGCGATGCTGCGCCGGAGGATGGCAAGTGCAACACGCGATTCCTCGTTTCGCCACAAAGGTAAACCTACCCGCTTCGGTTTCCCGTCACAAATCGCTTAATCGTTTGCAGCTGCCCCACGGCATCCATCTTCGTCCACACCTTGAGTGTCGCGATGCATGGAATGCAACCGTGTTACGGCACCGAATGCGATGCTGCGCCGGAGGATGGCAAGTGCAACACGCGATTCCTCGTTTCGCCACAAAGGTAAACCTGCCCGCTTCGGTTTCCGTCACAAATCGCTTAATCGTTTGCAGCTGCCTCGCGGCATCCATCTTCGTCCACACCTTGAGTGTCGCGATGCATGGAATGCAACCGTGTTACGGCACCGAATGCGATGCTGCGCCGGAGGATGGCAAGTGCGATACACGATTCCTCGTTTCGCCACAAAGGTAAGGCTTCCCGCTTTGGTGTGCGGTTCATGTCGTTCAACCCTTTACAGCTACAGCACGGCTTCCCGCTTTCCCCCACATTCTGAATATCGCAATGCACAGTATATAATATAAAAAGCAAGCCCTCATGATGCTATAGGCAAGCATGCCCGCTTCACTATGCATTCAATGCGGCTCACTTCCCCATAGTCGCACCACGCAGCATATCATTCAACGGATACCGCTGTTACATTTCTACCAAACCAAATACCGTAAAGCCGCAGAAAGCCGCGTTCCACGCGCTAGATTCGCCTATCAGCCTGGTACTGCCACTGAGATGACAGAACAAGAACTCACCACATAACCGTCATAGTGCATTCCAGGCACTTCGAGATGTTGAAACACGTTGGCGTGCGAGAAGACGCGCAGCAGATACTCTCGAACGGGCAGGCCACAAGATTTTCGGAGATTGTCGTAGTTCGTGAGATGAAATTCGAGGGTTATTCGATATGCCTTGTACCGATCTGTAATGTGATTGGCTCGCCGCAGGTAAGCAATCAGGGCCCGTGCCTACGCCGATCCAAGTTACCACCATTCTCATGTATGACCTCTACAGTGACTCGCCTCCTTGTTCCGCTCATCCCACGACATGAATAGTGGGTGTGCAGACGGGTGTGCGAGGACGATACCCTCGGTGGCCTTTTCTCCGCCCCTTCTCTTTACGACCGCCGCGATTAAACGCAGGCTCGTGGGTTGGAGGACTTCACTATATGACTCGTCGTCACTGGTGTCATCCTCGGTGAAGGATTCGTCCAGGTCGTGCGATGCTTCCAAGACCTCAAGCCAACGCTGATGCGCGTCGTGAAACCTCGATTGGATACGCTCAGGTCATACGTCAGCTGTAGGAAGATAGTTCGGAACTCATCAAGCCCTCACCTCCTTCATGTCGTTACGGAGCTCCACATTTGATGCGCCCAGAACCCAGTTCAGGTATGTCTTTGCGTCTGTCCCGAAGAATGTTTTCTCCTGCTGATAAAAGGCCAGATGTTGGAGCAGATGTGTATTCAGCGAATATAGGTCATGTTTCTGATCCTCCTGCAGCAAGAGTGAGGCGAGTAGGGATGCCTACCCAGCAAGTAAATTGGTGAGAATCTGCCTCTTCAGAATAATGTCTTGTTTACGAACGTTTAATCCCTTCAGGCCGCAAACTTCGATCCGTTTGGCGTCAAGAGGATGCCAACGGGCAAGGATGTTCTCCGGTCGTTGAAGGGCCGTTGCCCTTGGCGTCGCTTCCGTGCTGCGAGGCATCACTGCCGCGAGGGGATCGCTGCCACGGAGGGAAGAGCTGGGCGCGGGGGCGGGCGGCGGGGGGTTTCTGGTCGCACCGGTTTGGACGTGAGCAGACGTGAGCAGAGTGAAAATCGCACTTTGTTTATCAGCCAGAAACTTACACGTGCGCGTCTGTTAACAGGCTCGCGCTATCGCGACCCCCAAATCACACCATCACGCGTGCAAGAGCGGCCGGCGTATGTCATCTATTGATGAATAGACGGACCACATGCTTAAATAAATTACAGATTCTCCGTCTGCTGGCTGCCGAAGTGCATAGCCGCCTCGCCCTGACCACCACGATTCCAGACATTGTCCATGTCCACATCGAATGGGACGGAAATCGTGCGTATGAGCGGCTGTATTTCCGCATCCACGCGCCAATCAACCATGATCCCTGACCACTGAGAGTACAGAATCGCAAAATGTGGAAGAAATGTCTATGAATCCGTGAGTGAAAACACAAAAACGCGCTGCATATGATTGTAACCTACGTGGCTAATCATGGCTTCCACTGTGGATGGTTCATCGTCAAGTATTGCCTCGCCCAGGACCAAAACTCGCTGCATATAGCACAGGGGTGAAACGCCGCAGCTCCGGTGTAATCGGTGAAAATTCGCCATATGCCAGTCCAGACTGAACGAATGCTCGAAGGAATTGCACATGCGCGAGGGTACCTTGAGGTAAGCAAGCAGAGTCTGCGCCTGAGGGTAGCCGATGTTAATTTCAAGTCATCGCATAGATAGGACCGCTTACCTCGGTTCGCCGATCACGCCAATCCCAAAACCAGGGATTTGCGTAGGACTGCTCGTAACCAGATCGCGGATCGGGATTCTGACCACTGGCAGTGTGGAGCTCTCGGGCAAGATCGAAGCCCCTGGGCAAGACGATATCGGTGGGGCTGAGCAAGGCTTGACGGCCAGAGTCAACCGTTTCACCGCTCCAACGTCTGTACGCGACCCTGAAATGACGGACAGCGATCTGCTTGTGTAAGAGATGTCTAGGCAACGGGAAAACAGGAAAACTAACCTCCTCATATTCCTCATTTCCCAGAGAGACCTTTCCGATTACGAAGATGTACCTCAGATACGTCTCTGGCTGCGTCCCGAAGAGACGATAGTTGTGATGAAATTGCCGCAGGTGCTGAAGTACGATCGGACTTGAACCGTACAGATTTCTGTTTCGGTCGGGTACCGACAAGTGACTGGCCAACAGATGCACCTTAATGAGGTAAGTCTGTTCGACGTGGCGGCATTACCCGATGCGGTAACTCACTGTCACGCTCATCAGATACATCGCCTTCTGATCGTCTGCTAGGCGCTCGCGGTTACTACTACCAGGGGGTCGAGGATGCCGGCACTCCGCCATCGCGGTATGCAAAGGCGAGGGGGGGATGGGATGAAGACAAGGGGTGGTTTCATTGCGGGTAATCAACTCGGCGGAAGGCGGTGTTATCGCTGCTGGCTAATCGCCATACCCCTAATCATCTGATGTCAACGCGGGTGCGTGATTTCACGAAAGGGAGGGGGTCCGCAACCAATGGGGGCATCTTTTTAGCGTGTTGGTTGTACCAGCGAGGCCCGTCGCCGGTTGCACCTTTCTATCCACCCGCCATCATGGACGCGGACAGCGTAAGCTCCTGCTATTCCTAGCTGCTTCCACCTCCGACCTATAATCTATACAGGACAACCGCGCAGATAAAGAACCATCCCTGGAACCACGCGACATAGCTACATCGCGAAGCGTACGTCACGCTGTCTGTAACAAAACTGAGTTAACACTGACCGCATTCGCCGTCAGCACCGGCAAGGTAGCGAGAGTCGCGATGTCAGGCTACGGACCACGCCCGCTCGTGTATCGCGTCCGACCTGGAAGGTATGCTAATCACAAGAAGGTCGCGTTCGCCAAGCTGAATCAGCAATCAGGTACTGGAACAAGGAAGCAAGCCTCAGAAGGCTCGCAGTTCCAGCCGGACCCCCAGGTCACGCATCACGGTATGACTACATGTCTAGAAGCCAGCACGATCACTCATACTAGATGCAGCGGAATGAGCTCCAGGATTCTGAGTCGGAAACTCACGAAACCGGCGACATTCTTCCAGAGCGACCAGTCCCAACTGCTACAGGAAGCGGAGAAACGGTAACAGTGCATAGGAATGTTTACCAGGGTGGCAATGCCAGCGTCACCAACTCCAGGGTGACACGTTCGGGAAAGGGTAGACTACCGACTATTGAGGTTCGTTGCGCAGCGAATGGGAATTCCATAGTTAATGATGTCTGTTTTGCCAGGAGGGGGCCGAACGTAACGGGCATAACTCAGAGCCGTCCCAAGCACCCAACCGCGGTAAGCGCAGACAGACCCAGGACGTTCGTAGTTTTTGTGTTTTCGACAGAAGAAAAATCTTGTTGACCCATGAGCCATCAGAATGAGGATGACATGACAAGCGCTCCAAGAAAGAAGCGAAGAGGCGTACTAGTCAGTTGCTTGCAAATTGTCGCCTTTTGAGCCACATCTGAGCATTGAAACAGGATGAACGAACCGCAGACTGTGCTCATCAGCAAACCGAACCCGGCCAGAGTCAAACAAGCGAGACAGCTGGGGCGGTACGCTTTCTTCGTACGCGAATGCACGGAGCTTTATTGACTCGGCGTCATGGTAGATCATGTCCGACGCGGAGTCGCTAAAGCTGGTGAACACCACGCCGACGAGTACTCGTGACAAGTCCCCGGTGCCACCAGCGGACACAAGCTCGAAGCGTGCGAGTGATGAACCCAATGGCGCAGTCGAAAGCGGTGAGATGCATCCAGGTGTCTCTGACGAGACGCCTGGTACGGTACGTCATCTGTATCCGTGAATGCACGGAGCTTTATTGACTCGGCGTCATGCTAGATCATGTCCGAGGCGGAGTCGCTCAAGCTGGTGAACACCACGCCGACGAGTACTCGTGACAAGTCCTCGGTGCCACCAGCGGACACAAGCTCGAAGCGTGCGAGTGATGAACCCAATGGTGCAGTCGAAACCGTCGAAACCGGCAAGATGCATCCAGGCGGCTTTGGCGAGACACCGGGATTGGTACGTCATCTATGTCAGCAAATGTATGAACTTGCGAGTGCTCATCGTCATGCTAGGTCCTGCGCGAGGCGCGGCCGATGCAACCGGCGGACATCACTTCGACGAATTCCCGTGACAAGTCTCCGGTGGAACCGACAGGCACAAGCTCGAAGTGTACTCATGATGAGTCCACAGAACCCTTAGGCAACAAAGGCACCGCTAACGACGATGTCATACATTCTGGCGCCCCTTCCTCAGTTTATGTGCGTTCGGCGAGTTTCAAACAGTGCGCGAAGGCACACGTGTGGCTCATGCGCATAAACAATAGATTGCTAATGTCGTCGACCCACCGTTACCGCCACGTTTCACAAGGGCAGACCCGTCTCGTGCCAATGTAAGTAGATTCGCCATCTGCAATGACTTGTTGTTTATCTGTTATCATTGTTAGTTGATAGAGTCGATTGGGATTGCGGGCTCGGGTGGTTCGTCAGCTGGTGAGGGGCCGTCATCATCACAACCCCTCATAGTCGTTCGACCCGACCCAAATTTGCGCCAAGGTTTCCTCGCAAGCTTGCAAAAGAGGGTTGATGCGGTGTTCAATGATTGGGACGCGGCGATGTCCCCGTCCGTTCGCCCGACCCCAGCCGTCGCAACCGGCAGCACTTCGCCGGTGGCAGAATCTGTTATCGAGGTCGCAACAACACCGGTCTCTGCTCAAACTCGACGATCAGTAGCTGTCTTCGATGGCGTCGAGCTACCGCGTGTAAGCCCACCAGTATCCCTTGATAGCTTGCGTCTATTCATACTTTTTTAGCCTCGATTTCGGACAGAATCGGCGGCCCGCACCTCAGGTGAAGGTTTCTTGGCTCCGAATCTGAAGTCGCCAGTGGCAGAATCTGTTATCGAGGTCGCAACGACACCGGTCTCTGCTCAAACTCGACGATCAGTAGCTGTCTTCGATGGCGTCGAGCTACCGCGTGTAAGCCCACCAGTATCCCTTGATAGCTTGCGTCTATTCATACTTTTTTAGCCTCGATTTCGGACAGAATCGGCGGCCCGCACCTCAGGTGAAGGTTTCTCGGCTCCGGATCTGAAGTCGCGAATGCCCTCCCTCCAAACTCCCGCTTTGGTGACGACGGGTCGACAGCTCGTCGCTTGGCCCCGCCCTCATGACAATGCACCACGTCTCGATCTGAACGCTATGACTCCCGGGAGAACACGTCGTTTGAGGAATCGGCATGGAGCTTCGCAGGGATCCGGAGACAGTCCGTCTGACGGCGGAACCGGAAGGCGCCAGACATCACTCAACGGTCATGGTTCGGAACTACTTATGAATTCACCGGGGACGCCGCAGAATGGGTTCTCCCTTGAGGAGCATATGTCACCTATGTCGAAGGACACCGGTTCACCTGAGGAGCCTGGTGACATGGTGTTCGATCAGGTCTCTCCAGATAGCTCGGGTGAAGATAGTGATGAATACAAGGCGGAGGAACATGACGGGAGCGACGACGATGGAGATGACGAGTTGGAGCAGGAGGTGGTGGATGATGACGAACTCTTAGTACCGAAATCAGGGCATGAAAAAGCCACCTTCGCTCCGCGTACGAAAAAGACGGAAACCCGCGAAACGGGCAAGGGAAAGGCCAAGGGGCGTGGCGCAAGCGATGGCGAGGTTCAATTGTCAGGAGATGAAGAGCAGTTCGAGAGGAGTTCGCTGGCGCGCGGTACGGGCAAGGGGAAGGGGAAGGAGCATAGCGGAAGCAACGGCGAAAGCAACGGCGGAGAGCAGTCGTCAGGAGACGAAGAGCCGTCCCAGAAAAGGTTGCAGGCGCGCGGTACGGGCAAGGGGAAGGGGAAGGAGCGTAGCAGAAGCGACGGCGAAACCAACAGCGGAGAGCAGTCGTCAGGAGACGAAGAGCCGTCCAAGAAAAGGTCGCAGGCGCGCGGTACGGGCAAGGGGAAGGGGAAGGAGCATAGTGGGAGTGACGGCGAAAGTGACGGCGAAAGCCGCGGCGGAGACGGAGAACGCAACGGCGGAGATGGAGAACGCAACGGCGGAGATGGAGAACGCAACGGCGGAGAGCAGTCGTTGCGAGATGAAGAGCCATCCAAGAAAAGGTTGCAGGCGCGCGGTACGGGCAAGGAGAAGGGGAAGGAGCATAGCGGAAGCGACGGCGAAAGCAACAGCGGAGAGCAGTCGTCAGGAGACGAAGAGCAGTCCAAGAAAAGGTCGCTGGCGCACGGTACGCGCAAGGGGAAGGGGAAGGAGCGTAGCGGAAGCGACGGCGAAAGCAACAGCGGAGAGCAGTCGTCAGGAGACGAAGAGCCGTCCCAGAGAAGGTTGCAGGCGCGTGGTACGGGCAAGAGGAAGGGGAAGGGTCGTAAACAGTCCAAGAAGGCATTGGCGGCAGGCAGTACGGTCAAGGGCAAGGCGAAGGCACAGTCGGAGAGCGATAGAGAAAGCTCAGGCTCCTCAGACGTGGAGAATAAGTCGAAGAGAGGTCGCATACCGAAGAAGTATCTGGACGAGATTGCGAGCTTCGCCCAGCAAATCGACGATTTTGCGGCGAAGATGGCTTCGTTGATCGGTCGACCTGCTGGGAAGGTTCTGAGGATGCTTTTCAAGGAGGACATTGTGCACCAACGGGCGAAGAGTCCCTGGGCAGCATTTTCCTCGTGGTATTCACAGACTGAGCCGCACAATCCAGAAGAAGGTATACTCCCGGTCCGCTGATTGCGATGCCATTCTAATATGGTTCCACCTCACAGAAACACCGGAGGACTTCATGGCCCGCATGCAAGAGGCATACCGCGAAAAAATTGGCCAATTCAAGGGCGAAGAAAAGGCGGAGGCAGCGAGACCGTACCTTGAGTGGAGTCAGAAGCGCGAGGAGGCCTATGTATCGAAGCTCGCCAGAGAGGGGAAGCTTGGGGCCGAATTTGATCGGGCGGTGAAACAGGCCGTAAAGATGGTGACTACTCCGTGTTCTGCAATTCGTGTTAGATATTGAGCGTTTTTCTGCAGGCTAAGAACCTTTGGCGCCACGAAGGCGTACACTGTTTTGGCTACGTCATTGATACCAAACGAACATCTGGATTTACGGCGTTTGGGGGGTCGCCTCCATGGGCGGAACTCAGGGTCAGGTACGGAGGTGACATATTCAATACTATGGCGAACTTTCAGGCCGCTATCCGGTATGATCCTTTCCCTTTACCGTCGCCGCTGCTTTTAACACCGCACATCAGTGTACTCGAGATGAACTATGAGGGTATATCTGCCCCTGACCTTCCGCCACCTTCGCTTGTAGGCGACAGTGTGCCGGGCCCAAATCCAGGAGAGGATAAACGCGAGTATCTGCACCGCATTTTTAAGCTGCTGGTCAAGCGGAAGTGCAGTGAGTTTCGTCTGTTCCCTGCGTATATTCTTGTTTAATTGACCAAGCAGGTCTCATCGGGATTGAGGTGAACATGAAGCGCTTCCCATGGTACATGTTGCTCGAGTTTCTTCTGAAACAAGAGGCGAGAATCGTCGACGTCCACCCAAACTTCACCCTGGTCTTCTCGAAGCGAGGTCTCGCGTTCAAATTCCGCGGAAACGGTGTCGATGATACGATAACGCCAATGGTCACAGCCTTCCTCCCCGGTAACGACGGGCCAAAATTTCAGATCGAACTGTGGACGAAAGGTGAACAATCCCGTTAGTGCTTCTTCAGGGTTCAAACTCAACCTGTTCTCAGAGGAGAAGGCTACACCCTGGGAAGAGAGAGCCGATATTCCCCTCATCACGCGATGGGCTCATACGAAGGACCGCGACGATGATATCGTCATGGTTGGTGACCGTGAGCAGGTCGTGTTGTATACGGTCAAGCAGACCAGGCTTTGGGAGAGAAAGACAAGCGATACTACAGCGCATAGAAAGAGCCGCGGTCGAGGGAAGGCAGATCAAGCTGCCCATACCGCGACTAGCCCGGATACGGACGAAGTCCATGGTTCGGACTCATCCCGTGGTGATGAAAAGAACGCTCTACCTCTGGAGGATGATCCTTCGGACGTCTCCGATCATTCGGGTGTGGACGACGAAGAGCTGTACTTCCCCGATGACGGTTGGCAGGAGACGAACCAGGACTACCTAGGGATGGCCTTCGAGGAGGATGAGGACGACGAATATGCGGATGAAAGGCTTGAAGACCCCGTAGACGAGACTCGGGATCGCGAATGGACAGTCGAACCTCAAATTCGCATAGAGGAAGGGATCGAAGAACCCATGGACGACAACGCCTTTGAGGCTCGGGATCGCGAACAAAGCGCCGAACGAAGCGCCAAACCTCGAACTCACGTGAAGCATCGGCGGCGCGATGAGACAAAGGAAGTTGTTTCGCATCGTCGTCGCACGTCTGAGGCGTCAGAGAAAGGCCATGACGACGACACAGGCAGTGAGGGGCATGGTGTCAGTATGACTACTTGTCTCAACTGAACAGTCGCTCACATAACCTACTAGTTTCAACGGAAGCGAAAACGTGTACGCGAGAAAGATCCGGAGGATACACCGAATTCAGTAAGTCATGCTACACATAGCATGTCATGTCGTGATTGACGGTATACTATTCTCAGTATAAGCGACGCAAGGAAACAGGGGAGAGAGATGAGGCCAACACCGGCGGACGATATCCTGTGAGTGATCAACTTGCATGTGCCAGCGCAGCTCATTCTTATGATTACTCATGCGTCAGAGCAAGCAGTTGGATCGCGTTGAGAAAATCAAGAGCTCGATGAACTACGGCGAAGGTAGAGAGAAGATCACTTCTGTGAGTCCTTGAAATCGTGTACGTTGTTCCGTTCACTGAATCAGGTTGATGCAGCACTATGACCACCGAACCGATGTTCAGCAAGATGCGAGTTCACGACCAATTGACCTCGAAGATGATGTGCGTGTGCGCGGACGTGCAATCATGAATGACCAGGTCACGGATTCAAAAACGATGCACTACCCGAGAGCCGGACGCGTCCAGTCTCGTCCTCCGCCACCTCGTGACGAAAACCGGCGTATGCAGGAGGTCGCTACTGTATCTCCTGACTCACGTGTGCGACCACCTCAGCGGTCCAACGTCACGGTCTACCAGTCAGGCGCTGTCCTGCACGATGCCTTCGGATCGGGCCGGCGTGTTCGTCTTCCGGAGAGTGATGATGAGGCATCACAAGCGTTGCGCGGAACTCGGTCTGACGAACGCTCGGCCATTCGCGAGTATCACCTATCGCCTGAAGCCGGATCCCCACCCAGCCCTGCCAACGCGGATCCATCGATCTTGCGTAAAAGGGCCGTCATACAGCAGTCCGAAGTTCGTCCAAGGCATCAGCAGACCGACCGTTCAGCGCAGCTACTCGAATCTCGCAGGGAGGGCGAAGTGTCTCGCGGGATGAGCAACATATCTCGCGGGATGGGGGACGGGTCGCGTGGGACGAGAGAGGGGTCTCGCGGGACGGGCGATATCTCGCACGGCGAGCGCGACGGGTCTCTCAGGTCGCACGGCGTATCGCACGGGCAGGGCGATGGGTCTCTTAGGACGCGCGACGTCACGCACGGCGAGCGCGACGGGTCTCGCAGGACGGTTGGCGTCTCGCACGGGAAGGGCGACGGGTCTCTTAGGACACGCGACGTCTCGCACGGAGAGCGCGACGTCTCGCACGGCGAGAGCCACGGATCTCGCAGGACGGTTGGCGTCTCGCACGGGAAGGGCGACGGGTCTCTCAGGACGCGCGACGTCTCGCACGGCGAGAGCCACGGATCTCGCAGGACGGTCGGCGTCTCGCACGGGAAGGGCGACGGATCTCTCAGGACGCGCGACGTCTCGCACGGCGAGAGCCACGGGTCTCGCAGGACGGTCGGCGTCTCGCACCTCAAGGGCGACGGGTCTCGCAGGACGGGCGACGGGTCTCGCAGGACGGGCGACGGGTCTCGCAGGACGGGCGACGGGTCTCGCAGGATGGGCGACGGGTCTCGCAGGACGGGCGACGGGTCTCGCAGGATGGGCGACGGGTCTCGCAGGACGGGCGACGGGTCTCGCAGGACGGGCAACGTATCTGGCGAGATGAGCGACATGTCTCGCAGGAAGAGTTCGCGCGGGACGGACGACAAATCTCGCGGAACGGGTGACGGGTTAACGGCAGTGTACAAGCCTCGCAGACGCAGTCCATCACCAATTGCGCCCCCATCATACGTACCTCAAAATCGCAATCCGCCACCAACTGCAGGCCCGTCCAGACACGCAAGTGCCCTGCCTGTCGACGACGAACCGCCTTCCAAGCCAAAACCAAAGCCACGCCCGATCGCGAAGGGGAAGAAGCCAGCTGCAAGTGTATACGATAGCTAGTTCATATGGTGAAGAAGAGGCGGAATTGCGTATATAATAGATGACATGCATGAATAATGGCTAAGTGAAAAGTGCCATGCTCTGAGAGATATCTGTATAGACAAACTGGTAGCATGACATTAATGGGTGCATAGTTGAGTTGGTGCATTGAGGTTGGTGGTGTGGTGTGACTGCAGGCCAGTGGTCCAACTGATTGCTGTTCAATTCCCCATTGGGCCGATTTTTTTTTCTTCAACCTGATGTCCAGTGGACAAGTTGGTTTCTTACTGTTGACAACATGAAATGAGGGTTTAGCATCATATTGCAGCGGATTTATGACCAGGAGTCACAAGCGGGGAGTGTTAGCAAGGGAGCAGGAGACATCTGGAGATATGTGATTGCATCTAGAATTGAGTGTACTGTACTTTTACGACCGTAAGTTTGGCCAGGTCGGAGGGGGACAGGGGACACCCCCCAAGTTCGGGGCCGTGGGAAGTTCATCCGCAGCCTGCCCGGGGGACATGTGCTTACGAGGTCAGATTTTTTGATCACACGGTCAGATTTAAGACTCTCACGGTCAGATATAATGTGTCCCGGAGGTTCGGAGTGCCAGGGGACAGGGGACAATAAGTTTGGTTCGGGTGCCCCAGGGACGCGGGACGAACTTACGGTCGTAAAAGTACAGTATGGTCCTACCACATTCCAGATTGTCACCTCCGGTTGCACCATAGACATGGTGATAGATGGGTGGTACTACCAGGAGGTCCTGGTTGTATGTGCGGAGACATTGATGGTACCACCACATGAGCGACCTTGCACCTTGGTACCACCACTGAGCTGGTGTACCAGGCCATAGGCCACAATGCCTATGGTAGCACCATCGCAATAATTGGTGACACATGGTGGTACCAAGCTGGTGGTACCACATGGACTCAAGCCAGCAGATGGTCTTACCATTGACCTTTCATGGTGATACCATAGAATCCA